TTTTGGAGAGATGTACAAAATCAAGATCCAACTACATATGATGCACTATTAGAGATGATGCGATAGGAAATCATCAATGAAGAGCTGATAGACCACAGGAATAGGGCAAGCAGAGGCCTCTAGCTCCAGCAAAGACAACGTGGTAGAGGTCCAACCTCCCACCTGATGGACCAACAATGGAACCAACCTAATGCTGAAATTGGCCAAAGCTCAGGCCAAGCACTTGCCACAGCCACATTGAACACCGTACCAACGCTGGCTTATGAGAATGTATCAGCCACCGACACTCAACCAAACCAAATAACATATCAGGCCCCCCGTAGAGGACGAGGTCGGGGAAGAGGTTCAAGCCAAGGTAGAACTAATTCCCAAGGGTACTGCACGTATCATCACTCTTATAGCCACGACACAACGGGTTGTAGGGATATAGCTCAACACCCTAGAAACTTAAATCCCAGAAATAATAATCAGGATACTCATAGACCTAGGAGTAGGCCCCCGCCGAGGCGAGAGCAGCAGCCTAGGAGAGACGAGACCCCCTCCCGCCATAGGGAAGTATCTTCTAGAAGGGGGGAACATGAAAGGCATGGGAACCCAGATGAGCATCGACGGAGAAGCCATCAAAACAGAGCAGAGGACGCCCCAGTGCATGAAATTGATACAATCTTTGGATGTCCCTATGTTGGTGGAGAAACCAGAAATTCTCAAAGAAATTATATTCGAGAGGCGAGAGGTCTTCCACTGACCAGCTACATTGTGGGCAACAGCTCTCGAAGAAACCAGTCACCTCCTATAATGTTTACACACGAAGATTCTGAGGGTGTTCACTACCCACATTGTGACGCCCTGGTGGTAAGGGCTGTGATAGCTAGGAACGGACTGAGACGAATGCTGGTGGATAATGGCAGTTCGATGAACATACTATTCAGGTCCGCTTTTGATAACATGATCTTAGACCATGAGCTAACCCCCACCAACACCCATTTGTATGGTTTCACCG